GTTGCAGAGCAGTCTTGTGAGGTATTGTGGGCCTATCTTATTGCAGTTGCTGCAATTGGCTTCAGTTGCTGTGGCCAGCAGTTGTAGACAGTTTTGTTTTACCTGTCTGTTGAGCTGAGCTCCAGATCCTTGCCCTCTTCACTAATTCTAACTTGCTGATGGTTGGCTGTAGGAAAAGTCTTGCCTTAGATATTTCTTTTCAGGCAGTGTTCTTCATATTTTTTTACCCCCCAAAAAAGTTCAAAATGTCTTTTTTTAAAAAAAATTCTGTAAATAATGCAGCCATGTAAATAATCCAGAATGTGCTCTAGATCAAGGACTTCAAAACAGTTTAACTTTGAGTCCCCACCCCTCCCATTGGTGCTGTTTGTTCCTGAAGATGCTGCAAAAAACACCTTCAGGTCTGGTTGGGAAGGAGTTGCCAAGTCCTGTTCCCTCCCCTCATAATCTAGATTGTGATATGAAACACTGCAGCTGCTTTTTCTTCAGATGAAATGAGGCCTCCTAAGCACAAGTTTTGGATATGTTTATGTGAATAATGTAGTTTGTATTTTGTCTCTTAATGACTTCAACAGGAAGTCACCAATAAACACCTTTTTTAAAAAAAATAAAGTTCCTGATGTGTTTTAATGAGATTTAAAGTTGATCCTGAACTACAAAAAGGTATAGATTCAGTTGCTTGGATTCCCTCAGCATCTGTAATAGGAGCATAGCCCTGAAAGCAGGCACACGTTTCCTGATTCTGGTAACCTGATATATACAAGTAAGGGTTCCTGGATGAGAATTATGGGAGGTGGGGGGAAAGGCCCATTAATTTGTAGGAATCCATCAGCTGTGAAGCAATAGGAGCCTCAAGCACATATGAAGTTGTGGTTCATCGCCTGCATTTAAGTACTTTACCAAGTCTATGACAACACAGCACATTTCTGGTGTTTCTCTGAAGCTTTTACCTAATAAAGACATTGGTGTTCCCAGGATTACAGCACAGAAGGAAGCAAAATTTTACATTCCGTGAGAGCCAAGTCTCTTGTTCCTCTTCAGGCTGTTCTGATCTGAAATAAAAGCAACAATGCCAGCAAAAATAAATATGTGCCAATAACATGAAATGGCTTTCTGTAACATTCATGCAAATGCAAAAACAGCCCACCTTATTCAAAATTAAGGAAGAGCACATTTAACCTGTTTTGTATAACTGTAACTACAATGGCTATCTGCCTTTCTACCAGGCTGTTTCAGAGGGATCAAAAATTTCTGGGACTGACCTTTCACTGAGGATGAACTGCTATAAGAAAGGTGGGGAAAGCTTTTTTTATATAAAATCACCACCATAATCACAATCATCTCCATCTTTTAAGAAAATAGTACAGTGGTACCTCGGGTTAAGAACTTAATTTGTTCTGGAGGTCCGCTCTTAACCTGAAACTGTTCTTAACCTGAGGTTCCACTTTAGCTAATGGGGCCTCCTGTTGCCGCCACGCCGCCGGAGCACAATTTCAGTTCTCATCCTGAAGCAAAGTTCTTAACTGGAGGTAGTATTTCTGGGTAAGCAGAGTCTGTAACCTGAAGCGTATGTAACCTGAACCATATGTAACCTGAGGTATCACTGTATAAGCAAAAATATACAAACACAACCCATTTTACAAACAAGAGGTCACTGACACAAATAGTGCAACAAGGCTGGTGCACACTTCTGATTACTCTGCAGCCAGTGCACTCCCACAGATGGTGTGAAAAGCCGTGTACATGAAACATTAACCACAATATAGATCTACCCTGAACTTCCTCATGAAAAGCTGCATTTTGATGTTTTTTCCCCTCAGACCAGCTTCAAACGGAAATGAGAAAAAGAATGACAGAGCTGCATTTTAAGGCAGTGATGCGTATACAACCAGAGTATGTAACCATAACCACATTTAACAATTTCCCCAGTAGAATTATAATACAATCTATTACCTTGTCAAGTGCTAAAAATGTACCTTGCATTTTTTATGCAGCGTGTTCTTATTGATACCATGGTTTTTTTGAGTCCCAGAAACTACCAGGAGGGCAAAAGTTCAATCAGTGACACAATTTAATATCCAAGGGTGTGTGAACTAACTTGCATATAATGAGAGGGAGACCAAGAAACAGGTCATAATCCAAAAATATTTCATGAACTGCTCACTGCCCACCCCACTTTTAAACCATATATCACCCATTTTCATGTTATTTGGAGAGAAAAACAACAAGGAAAATGTACCTTTTCCTGAGCATTAGACGTAATCCCAAAGTTCAGTCCCCAACTACTGAAATGAGAATTGCATTCGACACGCATGTTGTTGTGGCACAAATGAAAGTGAGAGTAGAGAGATAATGTGCAACATGACTTGAACATTGACCAGGAAAACTTAATGATTAATCATATACAAATACCTTTGTACAAATACCTTTGTTTGCAAGAACTCCCTCTGACACACATGAAACTGGTTTGTAACTGAGAAAATATGCTAGCAGAAACCACCTGTCATTATGTTGGGTAGCTTGTGTTTGAACAGAGAGCTTTCTGAGCCTGTGTGCACATTTGCAAATTGCAGACACTGTGCTGTGGCTCCACATGTTGCAGCAGTTCAACTTTCATCAGTTCCGGCCAGTATGGATGATGATGATGAGAGTAGTTCAGGAACAGTTAGAAGAACACAGGTTAGTTACCTAAGGGGTCCCTTTTTCTAAGGATTGGATCTGACCACCACCCCCCAACTCTCCAGATATGTTGTCCTCATGTCAAATTGTACTCAGTAGTTTATCAAGTACATTGGGACATTTTTGATAACTTGTTTTTTTAATTGATTAGGAGTAATATTATATGGAGAGCTGGAAAAAGAAATTTAACTTGCCATTTTCTCACTGCAACACTACAAATACAGAAGGCACTGTTACTCCAAGGCCCTCTTCAAACTTCCTCACCTGCCAGGAAAACACTGTCCCTGACTGACCATGCCTGAGGCATGAATGCTTTCTTGTGCCCTCAGAGACTGCCTGGCTTGGGCAGATGCAGCCAACCAGCCCAGGACAAGGAAACCCATGAAGTAGAAGCCAGGACAGCATCAAACAACATTCTAATGTTATCTTCACTAATATATATGTATTTTTATTCACACTTTACCTCAGTGTTAGCATTTTTGTACACATTATTTGTCTTGGGAACTGCATGGCAAAATTTGGAGAAGTGTGAATTTCAAAGGATGCCTGTGCTGTGGTTCTCACATTGTTTCAGAAAGTATGAATTTGGTAGGTTCACCTTTAAAAACCAACTGAATTGAATTCTTCCCCTATTCCTAGGCAGGAATCACTATGCCAGGGTGCTCCATGGCTGGCCTCCTCCATGCACCTTCTGCTTTCCCCTCATTATGTTCCCCGTTCTCTCCTCCTTACCTCTGACCTCTCCCCAATTCTCCCCTCACTCCTTTATTTCTCACACATTTGTTCCCCCAATCCTCCACTTCCTAATGTGCTGCTGCTTTATTTGCATTTTCTGGTGTTTACATTGCTGGTTCCCCCTAAACAGCTCCCCTCCATTTAAAAAAGGAAGTGTTTCTTTAAAAGAAGGTTATCTCTTTGCTTGCTTCCTGCCCCACTCCCTGTGATAAAAAGGCAGAGATTAGTTGGACGGGGGCTTTGAGGGGGGCTGCTTCTGTGCCACAATAGGAAAATGGAAGGTGGGAAATTTAACTGGCCACCTTATGATAAAATGGGAGGTTGGGTCATTGTGCCTAAACTGCTACCTATCCTAAAACTTTTACCTCAGAGTGCCACTATACCCGAATGGGTGAGTTCTGCATTATACCAAACCCCAAAAGTGATTCTGTAATTGTGGGGTGAGAATGGGGGGGGAAGCTTGATAGTAAACAGTGCAAGCAAATGTGTGTCTACCCGACTACACTACCCACACTATTTTGGTCATCGCTGCTGGAGAGGCGTGTGTGGCAAAACTGTCATTGCCCTATTGCGATAAACAAAGGCAGGAAACTATTGGACCGTTCAGTGGCTCATAGAGTGGTAGCACTGAATGGTCGGGTTATCGAGCACCTCACCATTAAGTTCAGCAAGTTGTCCCTCTACAGTGAAGATGGCGTGCATCTTTCCAGTGCAGGAAATGATGTTTGGCTGGGTGATATAATTGATGGCATTAGGAATTTGTTGCAGGTGTGAGGGTATTGGCCGTGAGCCTTTTGGCTCAAGTGGCGGTTAGGCATTGGAATATTTCTGGAGAAGAGAAGAGGGGAGGTAGCACCATCACCTGCCCCGCAAATTGAAGGATATTCCATTAAAGGATTCCGGGGGGTGGGTGGCCCTGTCCGAAGCCTAGGGAGGTTAGGGCCTAAGGAACCACCCCTATCAGTGACCCCCAGGGGAGCTCCTAGTTGATGTGCATCAGCAGGACTCCCCCTACTGGTGATTAACCCTTTCCAGACTCCCTGCAGACAGGCTGGAGTCAGATATAGTCAGTTAAATACAATGCCTAAGCCAATACCACTCATCATCTGTAACCAATAAAGTTGTTGCCTTTTTTAGCCCATTAACTTTAAATACTTGTGTCTTTATTCAACTGGGGGGGGGGGGACCTTGCCATGCAATGAGGAGGAGGGGGAGCTTGTCAGTAAACAGTGCAAGCAACTGTGTGTCCATCCACAAGTAAGCAGTACTGAATTCAACGGGGCTTACTCCCAGGAAAATCAAGGATTCCCACACGGTGGGGTCAATGTTGCCATCCTTCATGCCATGTTTGCAGACATCTTTGTAATGCAGAGTTGGTCTGTCAATGGACCTGGTGCCTGAAGACAGCTCCCTCCAGAGCACATCCTTAGAGATACTGCCATTTCCATTCTGTAGACGTGACCAAGCCAGCGTAGATGTCTCTATTTTATATGTAGTTGGCAAAGGTTATTGTGTGGTACAGGGCATATAAACTGCAGATCCGTATTAAGTGTACTGCTTCTGTTTCAAACTTTCATGCAAATTAGGAACAGGGAATGCTGTGCTACGCACAAAGCATCTCATTCTGAAGCGTAGGAAATGCCGTGTGAGCAGCAGAAACCTCTGTCCGGTTTGCACAAAGAGGAACTGCTGCTATATTTCTAATGATACTTCTACTGGGGCTCTGCCTTTGCTGTGAGTATATTAAGAGTTAACAGGGAATCCATTTAAAGTGGAGTGGTTTATAATATAATATAAAGAATCATTTTAATTTATCTAGCCAATTGGTGCTTGGAGCATTTTAAAAACTGCAATTATATAATAGTCGGGATTATAATGAAAAAAGAACCACTCTTACAGAGTTGCTAAATTCCTTTCCCATTGTTGTCAGTCATCCAAGGACTTGGATACAAAAAGCAATTGCTGGAAAATTGTGAGTGGAGATTCCAAAAGTGCTACTGTAGTGAGGAGGTATTTAACAAAGAATGGGGAAAGTTTATAATTTATTTGAAAAGCTGTTGTAAACATCTACATACATTGGTAGGATTGACAAAAAACTTGTAGTAACAATTTGAACTATGGATTGACAAAGGATTTATAAAAAATAGAGTTATGATAGAGTTGTAGAGGGGGAAATCATTACATTAAGATCCACAATGGGGAGAGGGTAGTCAGAAGGGATTGTATGGTTTTTTAAAAAAATCATTTGCTTGTGTAAAATAGAAAATACAAAAATAAAAATTATTTTAAAAAGTGCTACTGTAGAAATGGGACTTTGACTCTCCTCTCTTTGATCAAACACTCCAGTGTCATATTCCAAACTCCCCCAAATGTTCATATTAATTTTAGTGCATAGTAATTGGAAATAATAATGGGAAAATAAATGATATCACAGTATTTTTGCATCATATATTGAGTTGTGATTTCAGAGTAATGTAAGTCTTTATTTGAGGTGCAAATCTAAATATTCTCAAGGCTTCATGCATCTGAATGACACTGCTGCCTTTCAAAGAGGTCAAAATCAGTATTTCCTTGCTACTGAAAGCTTATTACAGTATGTTCACTTTTAAAGGTATTCATCTCACAAGGCAAGAGACTTGTCCCACCCCAGGTAAGTGTTGCTCTCATTGTGGGAGGTGTTGCCCTTTTTGCAAAAAAAATTTGCTTTTTCCACCTCACTGCTATTTCCACACCACCTCTTTGCCCCTATTATCCTGTTAATATAGGTGTGGGAAGTTTGGGAAATGGGTGCTGCCTCCTTAAAAGGGTAACATGTGACTTGGACCCTAGACAGACAGTCAGGGAAAACAGCTTTAGTTTTGTAAGGATTGTTTTTTTGGTGTGCAAATAGCACATCCAGTAGAAGTATATTTAAAGGGCCTTCCCTCTATGTAGATATTTAAAGGCAGCTAAGAACCAAATTATATGTACACATGTTTAACAGATTGACACACTTCTAGTTTAGGCTAGAGGGGCTTGTTTATGAGCAGAATTATGTGCAATGGTGTAGCATGGTGGGGCACATGGGTGGTTGCCCCAGGCACAAAATTGTTAAGGGCGCAAAATTCCAACACCCGGTGCTGCTTCAACACAGCTGTGTGCTTCTATCACTGGGCTCCATTGAAAACGGCTTCTCCATGCGAACCAGAAGTGACCTCTGCTGAAAATGGAATGACTCTTCTTATCTCTGTGGCTGCAATCTCCTGGGTGATGTGGATGCCATTAGGCGGCTGAATGCACAGGTGTACTCCATCTATTTCCATCTCTCTACATGGCCCTGGGCACTGGCAACCCATGCTATGGCACTGACTATGTGAACCTCTAACAGAGTGGAATCTGAATATATTATCTATCTAGGTTTTTGTGGAGCACAGTCCAGTTCATCAAGCACATGCAGTTCATACTGCTCTTGTCCTTCTAACTTGCACTCTTTATAAAGATTTGAGAAGTACAGTTATCACTTCTCTATTATTGTCCATTCCTGGGAACCCAACCACTGTTACAGTGTCCTTTCTCTTGGCAGACCAAGATAAGCAGCTGACAGCAAAGGTTGCAAGGTTTTTAGCTGGGGCAATTAGAATAAGATCCATTATTTGACTATTTACCTTTATCCTCTGTAAACCACATTTTGTTTGCTTTATTGCAATGGCTGGTGACTGATGCAAATAAAGATTCATTCATTCATACTGCTGATGGCAGTGCAGGAGGTTATTAGAAACACGTGACTAGTTAGTATTGATTAATAAGAACTCTTGCACCATAGCTATATAGGTGAATGCCAATATACTATTAGAGGATAGTATATACTATTAATGCTAGTAATATCAGTTGTGTCCTAATTCAAGGTACGCAATCATACTCAAGTTACGTGATTTTTTTTTTAAAAAAAAACCTAAGGTATTCATCTCACAAAGCAACAGACTTGTCACACCCCAGGTAAGTGTTGCTCCCATTGTGGAACACAGGGAGAAGGAGTTTACCCTTCTGCCCCATCATGGTCCCAATATCACTTAGCAGCAGCTGCTATTTGCATTAGAAGCTAATTTCCATTTGGTATGAATGGGAACTTTCTTCCTGATGCAAATAGCAGCTCCAGAGGAATGTTTGGGAAGAAACAATGAGAGGAGCTGCTCACCACAGTACAAATCCTGACTGGAGTCCCCATTGATTGGAATTTTGCAATTTCAAAACAATATGCTATATTATGGTCAACATTATCATGAGTTGTCTAGAAAAAAATATACACTGGCTTTAATGGATTCCTGGCAAAGGAAATGGACTGAAAATTATAAACTAGTCAAACGCTCCACAAACTTTTATATTTGTATGCAATTTAGTGGGTTGTTTTCTCATTCCTACAGGTACTCTTACCAAACCAAACATATTTCTGGAAACCTCACCCAGTGATGAAGCAGATGAAGTTTTGGTTAAGTGTCAAATACCACCAGTCTCTCCTTTTACCAGAATTATTCTCTGTGAAGATGGGGTAGAAATCAAAAGTCAGAAGCAAAAGGATGCAATATTTTTATATAAATTCTCTTATAAAATATCAAGAGCAAGTACAAGACAGCTTTCTTGCATGTACCAGAACAAGGATAAAAACAACCAGGTGAATAATTCCTCTCCAAGTGATGCCAGGAACCTTTATGTTTCAGGTAAGAAAACTACAAATGAAATAGTTTTTATAGAAAACTGGTAATTTTCTTGGTGAATCAAGAATGGAAATTTTCTATTGTGATACATTAATGCTACCCAAAATGCTTTGAGTTTATTTCCTTCGGGCTTCAACTACTTTGATTGCTGCTGATTCTTCCTCCTCGTTTCTGTTTTGTTGTTGTTGTTGTTGTTGTTGTTGTTGTTGTTTAGAAAGGGGGACTTGGAGAACAGACTTCAATGAAGATTTTAGGATACATGCAGGTAATTATGCTAATTATGCACTCTCCTATCAAACTAAGCCATGGCAATCCTAGCTCCTTATTAGAAGGAATGACTGTAACAAGTGGGAAGCCACAGCAAAGTATCTAAGGTAAACCTTGCCGCTAACATTAGGCTTATAGTGCTGTTTAGGGCTTGTGAGCAGGAAAATGACACCTTTGTATTTCTCATCCTTCAGAATGCTTACGTTCAGGGGCAACAGCCCCTCCCTGCTACCCGCAGCCCTGCCTTTACTGCTGTTTATGTGGGAACAGTTTCTGCTAGTCATCCACCATAATGCAGGATACTTTAAAGTGTTAGGGGCTCAAGAGGCTTTGACAGCCTCATGGTCCTGGAAGCCAATAAATAGTCTCAGTTCTCATTTCATGTTTTATAAAAAATATACCCACTTCTGCATACCTGGGAAGTCCCAGAGTGCACTGAAGCCACTACTTTAAATGTGGATGGCCCTGTTTCACTTTCAAGATGTGTAGAATCATGAAGTTTGAAGTTCAAATATAAAACAATGACAATGATAATACTTTAATAAGCCGAGTAGGAAATGAGTCCTTTCTTAACCTCAAATAAAGTGGCTCTAGTAATACATATACCGTTCCAACAAGTCCACAGGTCACATACACGTTAGAGCTGCCCATTGTAAATCTTACATAAACTGGATTTCACCAGCTGTTTAGCTGAAAGCCTTGTTACCGTAGTTACTGGGTGCACAGCATGTCATGATACCATAGAGCAAAGGTGAAGAAAATAAAAGTTCTGAAGGAACCTTTGAGAACTGTGTATCTGAAAGATGGATGGTGAAAAGGGGAAGTTACTGGAAAGTCTTACACCACAACAAAATACAGAGTGTTTTTAGAAGCAGAGATTTAAATATACTGGTAAAGTGTAAGAGAGTGGCACAGCTAAATCTGTCATACGGGTATAAATCAGGCTTCCCTAACCTGATAGCCTTCAGAATACGTTGGACGAAGCTCCCATCATCAGTGAAGTTAACCTGGCACCATCATTAACATCCATTTGTTTTTGAGATAGAACTATTCCCCCAGGTATTTGATAGAGTCTTATGATTCTGCTGTTTATTGATTGTATATGTGTGTGCTGCTTAAGTTCTTGCTTATGTTTTATTGGGTCTGCTCTATGGCTTATTGAATTTTCAGTAAATGGGGTAAACATTTGGATTGGATCAAGAGTAATTTAGTTACACTTCCCATTGAAACTAGTGAGACTAATAATGACTGTCACGTGGATTTCAATGGGAAATAAGTGTGACTAATGCGCTGCAGATGGTGACAGCAGTCACGAAATTAAAAGACGCCTGCTCCTTGGGAGAAAGGTGATGGCAAACCTAGACAGCATCTTAAAAAGCAGAGACATCACCTTGACAACCAAAGTCTGCATAGTTAAAGCCATGGCTTTCCCAGTAGTGATGTATGGAAGTGAGAGCTGGACCATAAAGAAGGCTGATCGCCGAAGAATTGATGCTTTTGAATTATGGTGCTGGAGGAGACTCTTGAGAGTCCCATGGACTGCAAGAAGATCAAACGTATCCATTCTGAAGGAAATCAGCCCTGAGTGCTCACTGGAAGGACAGATCGTGAAGCTGAGGCTCCAATACTTTGGCCACCTCATGAGAAGAGAAGACTCCCTGGAAAAGACCCTGCTGTTGGGAAAGATGGAGGGCACAAGGAGAAGGGGGCGACAGAGGACGAGATGGTTGGACAGTGTTCTCGAAGCTACAAACATGAGTCTGACCAAACTGCGGGAGGCAGTGGAAGACAGGAGGGCCTGGAGTGCTCTGGTCCATGGGGTCACGAAGAGTCGGACACGACTAAACGACTAAACAACAACAACAACAACAAAATGCACAATCCTATTAATGTCTACTGAGACATGTCATTAATTTATTGAGGTTTACTTCTTGGTAAGTAGGTGTAGGAATGCAACCTAAATTGGTCAGCAATTAACCCATTATGTTCAGTACCTCCTGTGCAGAAAGCACAAAGGGCATTTCTTCTCTCCAGCTGCTCTAAATGATATTGTAATAAATGTGAATCTTTTTTAACACCTTGACTGATCCTCAAATAGGCAGTAACCCCTATGTGATTATACCTCTGCAAGCACCATAGAAATGGAGTGAATTTTCAGCTACAGCAGAAGTGGTAAGAAATGCAATTACATCGTTCACATTTATAAAGTTATCCACTTTTATCCAATTCACAGGTGCCTCAAATAATGCAGGTTCCTTAGGTAAGTGAGTTTTTACTCTAAAACCCAAATGCCACAGGATTCTTGCTGTAAGAATCCTGTGGCCTTCTTTGACTTTTGGATGAATTGATGTTCCATCACTGGGTGAAGATGCAAAAATCCTGTGAATCACAGAGCCCAGCAGCACTGCTATCTATTCCAGGGCTCCTGAAAGCCACTGAGAAGTACCTATGCAGAAACCTTATGCAATGATACTCTAGCAGGAAGAATAGGAAGGGATGATTCTCATCTCAAAAGGAAAGAAATTATATAGGTCATTTTGAAGCCACAGATTATACAGTCATACCTCGAGTTGAATGTGCTTCGGGTTGAGCGCGTTCGAGTTGCGCTCTGCGGCAACCCGGAAGTAACGGAGCACGTTACTTCCAGGTTTTGCCACTCGCACATGCGCAGATGCTCAAAATGATGTCACGCGCATGCGTGGAAGCGGCAAAACACGACATGCGCCATCGTGCCTTGCATTCCGTTTGGGATGCGAACAGGGCTCCAGAACGGATCCCGGTCGCATCCCGAGGTACCACTGTAAAACCTAAGTGATCAGAGACTGGAAGATTGGTTGGCTGACATACTGTTTCTTATAAATTTGTAAAAGGCAATACAAATTGAAAAGTAAAAAAAGAGAGAGAGAATTTTTGTATAACCCATTTGCTTTCAATTCACAGGTTTTGAAATTTCCTTAGGTAAGTAGTTTTTAATCTATTCTAGGGTTGAATGTGGCCATATGCCCTTTGAGGCAACTTTTTGAGGGTCACATGCCATTGGTGGGTGAAACCAGAAGCAAAAGTGGGCAGAACAACACATTTGGATTTTATCTTTCTATGCACACACACCTGACTCTATAACCAAGGCAGACAAGAAGCATTAGAGTTCAGTAATACATTCCAGGCAGCCAAGAATCACTCAAGAGGTTGCAAAGCAGGGCTGGTGAGGGTTGTGGCCTGGGGAACACCCCTAGGGCTAGACATTTAGCCCTTGCACCTGAGGTTTCCCCAATCCAAAGCCTAGTACATCTATTACTTGTTACCAGACTCTTGCTTGCAAACCTCCTTGTTGATCCCATGAGTTGCTCTGTTGTAAGTTCCACAGCAGCAGACACACTGTATCATAAGCATGTTTCAGTGGGCATGTCTGAAATCGCAATAATCAACCATGCCACATTTCAGAAATCTGGACAAATCAGCTTCTTGTGAACTGCCCTGAGATCTTTTGATGAACGGAAGTATATAAATCTAACAAATGAAAATAAAAACTGTTCTTTTTAGCAATTCAGACTTTCAGGGTTTACTATCATTGAATGTTGCTTGATGTATCCACCTTTACTATGCATGCACCATTGTATAACATGTTTCCTTTTGCTGTCTTAGCTTTTCCATCCTTTTGAATAAAGTGGGTTGATGCATGCATTTTTTTTTCCTGCCCTTAGCATTAGGATTTGGAATTACAACTGCTTCCATCTTTATCTGTGCTGCACTGTTTTATGTGCTGGAGAAAAGAGGTAATGCTCAAGCAAAATATAGCAATCATAATTAAAACTAACTACTAAAATGAGCCCTCTCCAATCCTGCCTTGCTAGGTTTTATGTTACAACCAACTTACTTCAGTATAGTCTTATTGCACAGTCTGTTTCTCTGACACTGGTGGATGTGGATGATGCCTCTGACATGACACTGTGCACACATTCATCTTATTGCTTGATTCTCCTGGATGGGCAACATATGCATAATAATGTTCCGGCAAGCTGTCTGCATGTCCACTCCAGCAATCACACTGCAAGGTGTGTGCACAGATAATGAACAAATGTCATGTTGAAGGAATGACCGCTACTGTCCCTGATATTGGAGGAACAAGTAGGAAGATGTCCCAGGGAGGGGCAAGTTTTGAATAGCTGTCCAGAACTTTCCCCATTTGTGTCTTCTGCCTTATGCAATGGTTCAATGTGTCTTATAATTGTGGTGTTATGTCATAGCAGCTATGAAGAGATTGATCTAAGATGATACAATGTACACTGTATCTCTCTCAGGTATAATCAAACGGAGAGCAACCAGGTAGGTGTAATGAGACTTTAATAATTATGCCTTCAATTCAGTAAAGTGTGATTCTGTATGCAGGAAATATGGTAAAGCACGTTTGTTCTTCAGAACAGCATATTCTGGGCAACAATTTCTTTTCTGGATATTGGTCATGCCTAAACTTGCTTCATATCGTAACTGGAATTAATGCTTTCATATCTTCTCCTGAGTTAAATAGAAATTACTCATTTGCAAGCAGAGACAACTTCCTCTATTCCTCACAGTAATAAAATTGGAGAAGAAGTAGCAAAACTTGATGGGTAAATTCAGACAGTCATTTATCAAGTAGTAATGTTGTACAGCACTATATCCAATCATATTTTAAAAAATGAGTTCATATAGTGAAGCGCCTGCTCTTTTAAGAAGGGTCAGACAAGATGTTGTATGGGGGCAGTTTGTCCTCCACTTGAGCTGGGGCTCTTAAGTTTCTTTCCACTCTTTAATACTTGTTTTGTGAGTACAACACCCATAGGTAGATTTAGGGAAGTGTGGGAAGCTGATTCTCCATGGGGAGAGAGAGAATTTGGCTTTAAATGAAGTTGCCTGCTGGAATGTAATTGCAGACATATAATGTCTGTGTTTTTGTTGTAAACCACCCTGAGATCTGCAGATGAAGGACAGCATACAAACTTAATAAAAAATAGAACCCATGCTAATCTTTGACTTTAGTTTAATAGCTTGAGATGTATATTAATGTATTTCATAAAATTTATATACTGCTTGATTGTAGAAAAACCTCAAAGCAGTTTACAAAAGAGATAAAACAATAAAATTTACAACAATAATTTAAAGTATACAAAAAGTTAAAACAGTAATACAGGTAAAGTGACCCCTGACCATTAGGTCCAGTCGTGGCCGACTCTGGGGTTGCGGCGCTCATCTCGCTTTATTGGCCGAGGGAGCGGCGTACAGCTTCCAGGTCATGTGGCCAGCATGACAAAGCCACTTCTGGCGAACCAGAGCAGCGCACGGAAACGCCGTTTACCTTCCCACTGGAGCGGTACCTATTTATCTACTTGCACTTTGATGTGCTTTCGAACTGCTAGGTTGGCAAGAGCAGGGACCAAGCAATGGGAGCTCACCCTGTTGCGGGGATTCGAACCACCAACCTTCTGATCGGCAAGCCCTAGGCTCTGTGGTTTAACCCATAGCGCCACCCGCATCCCTAAAACAGTAATCGATTGAAGCTAATTAAAACTCACAGCAACTCTCTAAACTTTCTATGTATGTCTACATACACATTTGAAACTAGAGAACTTCTCTCTGCCCCTCCAGCTTTATATATCTCACACATCTTTGCTTTCCACAGACATCCAGAAAGAGAAAACCAAACACGTAAGGATATGCTTTATCATCTCTCTCTTTCTCTTCCTGTATTGTCTAGATTGAAGCATGTAGTCAAGTGATGTGAGATCTGTGGCTTGCTCGCAAGCAAGCAAGAAAGCCAGCTGAATCTACTGTGCATTTCCCTTATGTCCTCATGTTGCAAAGGCAAGCATGAACGGGCAGAATTGTGTGGTAGGGAGCTGTGGCCCTCCAGATGTTGCTCCATTGTCCATGCTGAACTGGATTGATGCAAGCTGGTGTTCAACCATGTCAGGAGAGCCAAAACTTGCCCTAATAAGCTTGTGAGCCCTCCTTCCCACTACCACTTCCCTCTCTCATAAGAAAAAGGAGTTAACATGCAATGGGAAAGAGCATGGCTCCTATATTTGATATCCCCACCCCTTCCAGTGCGGCCAGTACATGCCAAATTGAAGAGCGCCTGCTCTTTAAAATCCAAACATGGGTTCCTGCATGGTAGAGCATCCTTCCTTGAATTAGTGTCCCATCACTGGTACTCCTGTATCCCTATTATCCCTGTTACAATCTAGGCTGAGGGGGAAATGAGATTAGAGACCACTGTTTGCCCACCTGTGATTTAAATTGGGCAGGGTCAAAGATTATGTTTTATAGTTTTCATCCTAACTATTACTGCTAACCCCAATATTGCTTTTCTCCCCAGAAGGACAATCAGTTGGTTCACTGAATGATGAATCAGAGCAGAATCCCTTGCATGTTTACTCAGACATAAGCCTCAGTCCGGTCAGTGGGATTTACTGCCAGGTGAGTATGCATAATGTTGCAGTCTTGGTGAATTGCAGAGCAATTCTCATCAGACCGATCCCCCAAACCTATAACAGTATTTTTCAAACCATTTGATACATCGTGGGTACATGGGTATGTTTCTATCTCTTTTAGGCCCAAACTGGATTTGACTGAGCAGCTGCATTTGTTTATGACAAGCATCTACACATTCACATAAAAACGGTGGATGTTTAATTTTTGCAACTCTTGTGAATTTAGGTTGTGATCCTATGTGCCCTTACCTGTTGTCCATCCCCACTTGGGACATGTATAGAATTGCATTCCAAATCTGCATGCTGGCATGCTCCTGTCTTCTGGTGGTAGTTTATCTCTCACTGGTTACTCCTCCTGTATGTCTCCCCCACCCCCAACTCACATACACCATTTGGTGTGTTTCATGGTTTTCAAAGAGGAGAGCACCAATATAATCTGGCACTTTATCCTCCCAAGGCAGAGGCACCCAAAGGAATTTTGCATCCAGCCTATAGCCATGTAAGCTTTAAGAAGAGACAGGAAGCTCATCCTGCTCTGGGAAGGTTCTATGAGGTCAGTATATACTCAGAGCATGCCGTAAAATTCATCTTGTATCTATATGTATGCATTTTTAACACAATTTATTTTTGAATAGCTGTGTGTTGATCTCGGAAAGATCTGTATGCAATGCTTTGCAGGTGTTGCAGAGCCTGGTCTTTATCTGCCCCACACCTGACGTTATAAAGGATGTCAGGTGTAGGGCATATGGGGAGGACTTGGGGGCCTAATAGGCCCATGGACAAGAGATTTGCTAACCCTGTTATATCCTATTGTGAACATCTCTAATTGAGTCAGTGCAAAGTTGGTGTGTGGGAATCACATGCTGATGTTTCATCCACATGCCTGAGATGTCATTTATTCATATGAAATATGTATGACAGAGTTTCATTTTGTGTTTTTGTTTTCTGTTTTGCTTCCTAGGAAGAAGTATGATTTCCAGATGTGGTGCTTAAATAATACAAACTACTCCAAAACCTAAATCTCAACATCCTGAAAAGTATTTTCATTTCTACTGCATGGAAGATTCTGCATGTTGAACTTAGGCATGCAAAGATTACCAATTCTTTACAGCAGATTCTGTGAGGCTTCTCACAGTTTTTGAATTTTTCATGTTGTTCTTTATACAGATTCATTATGTTAACCAGAAACTTTATACGTTCCCAGGAAGAGGCCCACAGACATAAACTACAGACATAAGCTGTTAATTAAGAGTAAGGGGTTTGTCATAACCTTAAGTAATATGACTGTCCAATTAAAATTATTTTGATTTGGGCTTGTTGGTGTGTTTCTTCAAGGAAATTGAGTGCTCAAGCCGTACCTACCCACCCTCACCCTACCGCCGCATAGAATAACCAGACAGGACAACATATTTGGGGGCAAATAAGGCCATGACTTTATTGATTACAGATGTAGAGGTTTGGTATAGGCACTGAGTATAATTGTTGACTTCCAGCCCAGGAGAGGAGTCCTATGACATACATCAAATAGGAATACTGCCGTGGGGTCGCCAATTAGAGAAGTGCTGTGGCCCAAGCCCCCACCTGGACCTCTTGACAGAAGCAAGTCCTCCCAGATCCCTTTAACAGCATACCCTTTCCTTTGGAGGGGTAGGCAAAGGTTACAACCTCCCATCCAGCCAAGACTAAGACTTATTCAATGCCTAAATTGCCATACGTTGCGGCAATTGCAATGAGGTAGGTGAAAACCACCAAACGGGAACCAATTGGCCTGGTAGGAGAATTCCTGCCCAGCCCCGAAAACGGAAACCAACAATATCCAAGTACCAAACAAGTTTAATAATGGTGGGGAGGTAAATCTGGTGGTCCATCCCCCAGGAATATCCTGCTTCCAAGCCTGCTTGCGATTGTCTGAATTTTCAGGCAGATTGGATTCCAACCAGTGGAGAGAGCCGATAGGCTTCTCCACCAGCAGGAGAATACTGTAAGAGCTATCCATCAGTTCTGAAGGAAACTTTGAGAACCACGTATCAGAAAGCTGGACAGTGAAAGGGGGAGTTACTGGAAAGTCTTACACCACAACAAAAGATAGTGTGTGTTTAGAAGCAGAGATTTAAATATACTGACAAACTATGAGAGTGGCACAGTTAAATCCATCATACGGATTTAAATCAGCCTTCTCAAACCTGATACCTTTCAGAAGATGTTGGACCCTGAATTCTAACCAGCGGAGAGAGCCAATAGGCTTCTCCACCAGCAGGAGACTACTGTAAGAGGTATCTATCAGTGGATCTCATTGGGGGCAGCGGAGCCATTCTGCAAAGCCACCGCTTACCAGTTCAAGGGCTCAGGTGCTGTTCTACCTCGTAAGCAGCTAATACACCTTGGGTTGTGCTCACATTTCCATTATACCTGCTCTAAAGAACCCTTTGGTGGTGGCACAATGAGACATATCTCCAGTAGGAAAGCCCATGAGAACTTGACATTGTGTGCTCTTGACAGATGCCATTTCTCAGTCTCAGGATCTAAGAGTAAATGTAGTTGTGTACATCAAATGTCTGTAGATGTGTGTCATGGTGATCGAAGTCCCGGCTGAGAACGTCAGGACCGGGGGCAAGATGGCGGGGTGGGAGCAGGAATGAGAGTCCAGAAGCCAGGGGTCTGAGGGTCAGGAAGCAAAGTGTCACGAAGTCAAGGGTCCGAGGATCAAGAAGCAGGGAGTCAGGAAGCTGGGGTCCGGGGATCAGGAAGCAAGAAGCCCAAGGCAGGAAATGTGTTGCTGTGGCAAAGAGCCAAAGGGAAATGCTGACCTTATATCCCTTCCCGGCTCTTGCCACCAGGTGCAGTGAGTTACCAAGTGGCCTCACCTGTGCAGCCGCGCCTTGCATCTCCAGAACAAATTTAGGAAGGCCCCAGTCCTGCAAAGCCCTACTGGCCACAGGGCCTGGCTCCTGCACACACTCCTGACAATGTGACATGAAGGCTGCCAACATTAACCCGGCCACATGGGAATCCCTTGCAGATGACCGCAGTGCCTGGAGACAGACAGGTTGTGCATCCACAGCAGTGACCAGAGGAGGAATAGCCACCAGAGGAGGAGCAAAGAGAGAATAAATGCCATGAAGCCTCCACAGCAGCACAACTGCAGGAAGTAGAAGTAGGGTAGAAGTAAATTTGTAGCAAGCAAGGCAATAAACAGGGCTAAGCTGCACATTCACTGCATTAATTCAGATTGCCTGGTCTATCGTGATTTAGAATGAATGAGTTGTGTGCCTGCATATGCTGCTGAATCTCCTTTAATGCTAGTAGTATAAACAAATCAGGAAAAGAGGGCATCAATTTGCATGTTCTGATTTCTACATTACATGTAGATGCAGATTTTGAAACAATTACTATATTTTAAAGAGAAATTCAACACAGCTCATCAAAGAACGGATTTCTGTGACCAGGAGACTTGTGTGACTGTCGGGCTGTTGTCCTGATGCTAATTCTTGCTGCAGTACTTAAGGTCTCTTTTCTTCCTTCTTAAGGTTATCTTTAAACCAGACTTGGGGTAGAGGGCTATTCATATAGGACCGTCCTTTCAAATGAAGCCCTGTCATCACTGCATTAGCTCTACAAGTATCTGTGGAGCATAGCGTTTACATGGGACAAGCATAGTGTTTGCATAGGGCACTCCTCTATCCTTTAGAGGCAGGTGCTGACTGTCACAGGGCCATTAACTGTAGAGCAAATTGTTGGCAGTTACTTATATCTATGCAGAGCAGGAAAATGAAAGTAAATAATTACCTTAACAAAGGTCCGCCAGAAGCGGGAGCAAGGTACAGGAACTGACGAGCGAATCTCACCGTTTGCTAAGAAGGTAAGAAAAAATATTTCCAGAATTACATTTCATTCTTTTAGTGATTGGAATGTGTTTGTTTAATGATGAATTGGTGGTCAGGTGAAAGGAGAGAGGCTTTTCCCTTGCTTCCATTCAGGATATATATAGGATTAGTTTACCCTCGTGTAGAAACTTTCAAGCCACGTTTGCAAATATACTTGTGATAGTAAATTTCAGGGGCTTCTTTGCAAAATGTAAGTTTACAAATATAAATGTGTGTTTGTGTTTGTGTTTGTGTTTGTGTTTGTGTGTGTTTGAAAGAAAGAAGAATGAAGGCAACATGCTCCTTTCTGCAGAGATCCTTCCTAGCCACACAAGCCTGAATACTGGTGGTTGCTTCTTTCATTTGTAATGGACATAAAATGGCTGCTTCTTTGCCACTCCCATTTGACACTGGCAAGTGATATTTATCCCTTGGCACACAGAGTTAGCTCTGCCATGGGATGTCTCAGACTTTTTTGTACCTGCAACTTTTTAAATTTAGTATTGTGGTTTAACAATATTGGAGCAGGGCGTTCAATTTCCTGAAATGCTGAAGAGATGTGGGGGAAAGCATCATCCATCCACTTACAATAGAGACAGAGTAGATGGCTTTTGAATTAATTTTTTTTACGATATATGCATAACATTTCTTTTATCAGATCTAAACTGAAACAGGATAAGAACATAAAATGTATTATATAAAAACAAAAGTAAAATCCTATACATGCCTCATTTTCAGATAACTGTGCCTATAGAATGCAGCTTTAGTTGACACATACATTCTGCTGGTGTGGTGAAATGCAAAGCTATAATTCCCTTTGTTTTATTTAATATAATAATAAATTACAAATATACCTATTTATGGAGAAGGAGTAGAAGAAAAGACAAAAGGGGACACTGGAGTGAATGTATACTATATGAGTAGCAATCTCCTTTTCAAGTTGCTTCCAACTCTAGAGGAAAGCGAAGAAGGACTTACCAGTACCATTGTCACTTTATTTGTGCTCAAAGCAATACACATCAAATGCATGACCAAAAGATCACTATCCATATTAACCCATAAAAGCAAGTGAGCCCAGGCCAGAGAGTCTATATCATTGATTTCTGACAAAACTACCCAATTGACTTGACAGAATCATTGAGGCAGCCCCTCCCCCAGTGTCCCTAGGGCTACTGTCTTCCTTGAGGAAAATCAGAAACTGGGATGCCCAGGCTAGGGAGCATGGCAAATCAGCTCCTGATAGGTGGCCTGAGAAAACTACTGGGACAGCCTCTCATTCACCTTCTCTGGGGCTATTAAAGTCCCATCTGCCCTGAGAGATGGCAAGGAAGCTGAGGCCAGGAGCAAATGTCTTCAGTTTTCAGTCAGCCTGAGAGGTCTCTGTCACTACATTTGTGTTCTACTACAGTATTTTAAAACTGTAAATGACCTCAAGTGCATTGACTTAAAAGTGGTGTGTAATAAATGCAATAAATATATTAGTAAAATAAGTTCAAAACAAGATAATCAAAATAACAAAAACACATCATAATAGAAAGATAAACTTCAAAAATAGCTTGGCTACCAGGAAGAACAAAACAAAACAATGTATTGAATACGGTCCACTGACCTACTTGCAAAAGAGGATGCAGATTTGCATAATATATACCATTCCTGGTATATATAGCATAAATTAATTTTTAACAAAGCCAGATTACATTACATGAAGATTAATGTACAAAAATGCCTATATTTATTTAAATAAAGTAGACAGAACTGTTGACAGTAATAAATGGTGACCAGTGGATCTTGCAATTTTATATTTTATTTCTTTCTTTCAGCAATTGTACAGGTATAGTCCTATACTTCAGATCTTTGATCCATGTGTTCCTCATCAATGACTGTTTGCATCTTGATATTTCTTCAGATCTCCCATGTGCTAATTGCAGGTAAGCAAGCTACTTTTGTAAAGTTTACTGCAGTGAGCACCTCTGAGATAATACTTGTGTGCAAAGCACAGTAAGAGTTGTTTAATGAAGTAAAATCCACCACTTTCCGAGGGAATCCATCCCACTGTTTGGCAACTCTTACTGTCTGAAAGTTCACCTGTATTCTGCAGAATAGAGTGGGACTTGCTTTTCTTCATCAGAACATTATACTTTAGTTGATGCAGCCAAGAATAGCTTTTTTTCTACTTCATGACAATGTTGACTCATGTTCAGATTGTGGTCCACTAAAACCCCTAGATCCTTTTCACATGTGCTATTCGCAAGCCAGGTGTCCCCCTTTTATATTTGTGCAGCTGGTTCTTCTTGCCTAAGGGCAGAATATTACATTTGTCCCTATTGAAATTCATTTTGTTAGTTTGGGCCTAGTTTTTCAATCCATTATGGTTACCAGACGTCCCTATTTTCCAGAGACAGTTCCCAGATTTTCAAATCAGTTCCCTGACAAAATCCATCTATTTAGTAGGAAGTTGAAAAGTGTCCCCAGATTCATGGGAAAAAATCTGGTAACCTTAGGTGAAGTTGAATCCCAATTCTGTCTTCAGTGGCAGTATCTACCCCACCCAGTTTCATGTCATCTGCAAATTGGACATGCATTCTCTCAATTCCTTCATCCAAGTAATTTCTAAAGATATTAAACAACAACAGACCCAGGATTGAACCCTATGGCATCCTACTTATCACTTTTTTCCAGGACGATGAGGAATTATTAGAGAACCTTCTTTGGGTTCGGTCTATCAACACGCTACAAATCCACCTAACAGTTACCTCATCCAATCCACAATTTATCAGCTTCCTCACAAGATTATCATTGTTGAAGGCTTGGCTAAAATCAAGGTACACTACATCCATGGCATCCCCCTGAGTTTTGAAAGTTTTGAAAACTCTTCAAAAAAAGAAATGAAACTTGGCATGACTTGTTTTTGAGAAACCCATGCTGGATCTTTTATTTCATCACCCTGTTTTTAGGATGTGAAGGTAGAGAGCATTTCATATTTAGAGTAGGAGTTGCACAATTGGGGCAAGGACTGGATATACTTAGCAGTAGGGGCTACCATGGTTGGTGATGGGTGCCATATCCTTCCAGCCCCCAAAAAGAATTCCATGGAGGAATCACTGCCAGTAGTGGTCAGTTTAAGGTGAACTTTTGATTTTTGTTTTTATTCCTCAAAGGTCAATTTGCAATCATTCCACCCAAAAAACCTATAGTTGGTTTCCTTGGAAAAGAAGTGCTCCTGCCATGTCAACTAACATCAAGGGTACCAGAAAGCACCAACATCCAGGTCCAGTGGATCTTGGATAAATCCTCAGAAAAAATTGATGTGAATTCCTACTATGGTCAAAACAGGCCAGAAACACAGGATAATAGATACCGAGGTCGAGCTGAGCTTTCCCGTACTGATCTTAATAAAGGAAACATGTCTCTGATTCTGAAGAAAACCCATCTGTCTGACCAAGGAAACTACACCTGTATGATATTCCTTGGAGAATGGTATAATGAAGTGGTGGTTGAGTTGCTTTTGGCAGGTGAGTTTATTCTTATTATTCTTATTATTACGGTTGCCAAATCTCTGGGGCTGACCTGGAGTATCTAGGTTTGCCTGCCCCATTCCAGGGTGCAGAAAGAGGACTTGAATCTCCAGGTAGGCAAGAGCACCTTTGGGGGAATACCATGTTTTTAGAAAACTCTGAATCCAGCTTGCAAGCTTCAACTCCGAAGAAGCCAATTGCTATATTTTGCGTATGGAGGGGGGGTGTCTGCCAATTAACCTCCTTCTCCAGGGCTCTGTGGTGGGAGAGAAAGCAGAGGAAGAAAAGGAAATGGGCTGGGTTCTAGAGGAGGATGGGGTTAAGAGTATGCATGGACACTTGGCACAAGATGCATGGCTGCAGAAGAGAGAGGAGCACATGAAGAATAGCAGCAGCAGCCAAGCCTTGCTGCCTCCACCACCTACACCTAACTCCTGGATGTCCTTCGTGAGCACCTCTGAGGAGGCAGGGACATTGCCAGGTGCTGTGGGCCTTATTAAGCATAGATTTTCAGAAATACAAGTTGTCAAACCTAAAACTGTAGAACCCAGGTCAGTAACTCATTCATTCAGACTTCTCCATCTCTTTGCAGCCAAGAGCACTACTCACAGGACCAATCATCCTGTAGCTCAACAATACAATACAATACAATACAATACAATACAATACAATACAATACAAAAAAAAGATTTTTGAATGGTAGCTTGGCACAAAATGTGTACTGTAAGAACTGACTGTAATAAAGTATCATTCCTGGTGTTTGGTCAGAGTGCAGAAACTCTAGATAGGTTCTATCATATTTGGAATGATGGAAAATTAATATGTGGTGTTCTTCTTTTGCAGCAAAAGGAACCGAGCCCACCATTGCCTTGGTAGATTATAAAGGCTGGAAGATTGGCCTCACCTGCAGCTCCAACGGTTGGTACCCAAAGCCCAAGGCTTTCTGGCTGGACAGTGAAGGGAAAGTCCAAAGTAAACAGTCAGATACTACAATCACAGAGACCAAGGCAGGGAACTTCAGTGTTTCCAGTTCCGTTACAACAGAATCAGGAATTGACCATGAAGTCTCTTGCAAAATCATCAACGAACTGCTAGGGATGGAGAGTGAATCGAGAATCCTGATCTCTGGTGAGTAGGGATGAAGCAAAAGGGCCAAGAGATTCAATGCTTTCACTGTGTTTTCACTACAAGTACTATATAGGAAGAGAGAGGTTTGGGAAATTTATTCCGTTTTGATGCCTCTGAAGTACACAAGGCTCTTTGTTTGAATGGATTATCCAGATTATCTACAACTGTAGTTCTGCTCAGCAGCATTTCATCAGTTATCATCTGGGGTAATGGCTAAAGTGTCTTCTGGTTCCCATATCCACTATTCACCAGAGAGGCAGGCAGGTCACAGCTGAAGCACCCCTATTGCCACAACTTCAGCTCAATCCCTCCCAAAATGGGAAGTTCAGGAGAATTTGGGGCAATGGAGGTGAGTGGCAAAGTCAGACTCTGGTTAGTTTTGCAACTTGAAACCGTGGGGTTAGTTCTGCTGTAACTGAGATTTTAATGTGTGTTTCAGATGCCCTTTACCCTGCCACTTCCCCTTGGCTAGCACCCTTCCTAATCATTCTGTTGATTTTCATCTGCCTTCTTGTTGGTGCTGGGTACAAAGTCAGACGTAAGTATTAAATCTGTCATTTTCATAATCCCATTAAACTGTAGATGTGAACTGTTACAGAAACTTTCTGGTTTTTTGTACCCATGTTTATTAAAATGAGTGATGTGTTCTTAGATACAGAGAAGAAATAGGGAACATACCAGTTAAATCAATACGTATTTACTACAGCCAGTAATTGCTCCTTAAACTGCCTTAAAATGAGCATAGTTTAAAAGCTGCTTCAGGCAATCAGAGTCACTTCCCCAACAGATACCGTAGTTGGCAAATTTAGTGCAGTTTACATTTTAATGTGGTTCTACCTATGTTGGACTCAGCAAACCAGGACGTGAACCAAAATGCAAATTTATTGAATTTTGTGATTCATTTTTCAACCTGAAATATATTAGGGGAAAGTATACACAAAAAATGCATATACAGTGGTACCTTGGGTTACAAACTTAATTTGTTCCAGAGGTCCATTCTTAACCCAAAACCGTTCTTAACCTGAGGCGCACTATCACTAATGGGGCTTCCCACTGCTGCCGTGCGATTTCCGTTCTCATCCTGGGGCAAAGTTCTCAACCCGAGGTACTACTTCCAGGTTAGCAGAGTTTGTAACCTGAAGTGTTTGTAACCTGAAGCGTTTGTAACCCAAGGTACCACTGTATTAGTGAAAATAATGCATCATATTAAAAGAAATAGCATTCCAAGATGTGTGTATTAAGAGAAATAAGGACTGTCAGATAAATAAATTGTCTGATTTCTATAATTTGCTATATTTATTTCAGAGAATTATCAGAAGTTATCTCAGTATGGTGAGTAACTGACAGTGACATATTTTATACATATCATTTATGCGGCGGGACGACGAAGAGTGAGGCCGGGAAGATGGCGCTGCAGCAATTTAGGCTGCTAAACACGCCCCCTCGCAGGCACCTGGTTGGGTGCCCGCCCGTGGGCATGGGCGCCTGCCAGATGAGTGGGAGGCAGGGGGCTAACGCCCCCTGCTTGAGGCGTAGTCCGGATCCCGACCGCAACCACCCCCCCTCTCTTGCAGGAGGAGAGTCTATGTCCCATTCCATAATGATAATTTTACTATTTATACCCCAGACACTCTGAGCAGCTTCCAACATACATAAAAACACAATAAAAAATTAAACATTTTTTTTAAAAAAACTATACAGGATTGCCTTCAGACAGCTTGGGAGTCAAATAACTCCAAACCTTCTAACATTTCTCCAATGAAAATAGGGACAACCTAACGAAAAGAGGGACACTCTGAGCTCAAATCAGAAACTGGGACGGCTCCTCTAAATCAGGGACATCCCTGCAAAACAGGGACACTTGGAGGGTCTGGTAGATGAAGTCATGCTCAGACATCATCTTCCTGCTCATATCTGTAGGATCAATTGAAATAAGATCACTGATTATAGTGAGTCTACTTTGATTATGATTTGTTACATGTAACCAAGAAGTGGGGGAATCCACAATGGCTACAATTAATTTCTGGTTGTTTTGGAGAGAAGCATTAAATGCATACTTTCTGTTTCTGGAGATGACACCTACCTTAAATATTTCCACTGGAATCCCTGGTGACCTTGGTGGCTAGGAGTGCCTTTTGTCACCTTGGGCAGGTGCCACAGCTAGAATCATTCCTGAACTGTGATAGCTTGACCACAAGAGTTCAGTCATTGGAAATGCCAAGACCCTAGTAATTCATTCTATACATGACTTCTCTTGTGGTTGTTCTGGAAACTGCAGTCAGTGCAGAATGCTGCAATACTGGCTGCACTGGCTGCAACTTTGTTACTAAGCTAAGTTAAAGGTATTGCTATTAGTATGTAAAGCCATTAACGATTTGGAACCACTTTACATGCCAATTTGAATGTTTCAGTCCGCAGAACTTGCACTTTTACAGGTGCCACAAACTTCTTTATTTCAGCAAGTCTCCCCAGATATATATTTACGTAGTTATCTATGCTCTATTTCAGTGATATTTATCTTTTGTATACTTTTTAATCAGTCTTGTGGGTTTTAACTGAGTTTAGCTGAGTTTTACCAATTGTTTCAGTGTGTGCATCACTTTAAAAGCTTTATGATTAAGTGGTCTGCACATCTTTCTAAACAGATACAGTGCAGCATATAATGTTCAGTAAATAAATGAATAATGTTTTAATGCATCTTGTTTTCTGCAGAAAAACAGAAAAATGAAGCACAAGCAGGTAAATGCCTCTAAGAGAGATGCACATCTTCTATAGTACTGTTCCATAATTGTTTATATTTTTAGCATATGCCTCCCCCATCAGTATTGTTTTCAGGGTGACTAACAGTAACACTTTTTTAAAAGCCCAGTAAAGAGGAGCAGGAGAAAGATAGCAAAATTTTAACCACAATAAATGAGTGAGCCCCAGAATTTTTAAATAAATAAATAAACGCTCTTATTACCTGGAAAAACTTAATGTGCTGGAATAGCTATATGAGTGGATGGTCATACAGTAGCCTTGGTGACTGAAACTATTCATAGTAGAGGTTGGGTTGAGTTGAGCAAGGAAGAAATAATCCTGTCACATCCTCAAGATACCTTGTCAAGCTAATGCTTTATATACCATAACTTGTATTATTAATAGTAGTTGTGTTGGCAATAGTAACTAACAGGCAGAGTAGTAGAAGGGACTCTCCCACACAAAGATACCCCTTTAGCTATATTTGTGGAAGTAAATTCTTGATTAATCATACTTACATGTATGTATAGAGTGTGTATGACTAACATTTTGCTATCACTCTTTTCAGACCGAAATCATGTAACCGAAGCAATAGGTAAGATCAGATTGTTTCCCTTTTCTCAAGCTCCCTTTTATATATAGGAAGGATTTCTTCTATCCTTGCAAGATTTCAAAAGCCCAATTTTCTGCAGTATAGGTTCATCGATTCATCTCCTGTCTAGGCATTTCATATTGCTATGATGTTTTATTCCTGGAACCATGTTCAAATTGACAAGTGCAAGAGGCATTTCAAACTGAAGGCATTCCATAATGCTGACAACTTGGAGTTGGGCTGATAAGGGTCTTCCAGATATATCAAGAAAGGAAAGGATGAACTAGATCCATTAGCTAGAGAAGAGGAAGCCAAGGAGAAGGAGATATGTAATCATGTTTATATGTTGGGGGGGGTAAAAATAGGAAGAATAATATATGTATTCTTCTGGTTTAAACGTGTGACTTATAATGTACCAGGAATTCAAGCGGTAAAACATTGTGGGTAAGCCCTGCCACTGCCTATGTATGGTCACAACTGAAGCATTGACTGGCTCCAGTAATTTTCACGGTAGATCTGCCAAAAGCCACCTTCTGCCTCCTGCTTTTTTCAGATCCACTGTTAGATAGAACTCTCTCATGCAGAAGCTAAGTCAGGAAGAGCCGCTTCCACCCCAGCAGGATTGCAGCCCAATTTCTCTCCCCACTGCCTCCCCCCTCTGCCCATGGCTACAGCTTGGCTGGTGAACTGAAGTGGTCATCACTTTCCTCTCTCTCCCATGTGAGCCTCTGGGCAGACCCATAACATGCCTTTTGGAGCACAGCCAATGGAGCACAGCCAGTGCTTCCAGAGGGAATAACAGCTGCCAAATTACAGGCAAAGAGGTCCAAGATTTTGTTTTGATTTTGTTTTTGTTTTTTGTCCTCTGTGCTCGGTGTAAAACTTCTACTTTGCTTATTTCCCCTTTTGGTCTTTAACCTTTATTTTTGGAAGAATTGGATGAAATTGTCAGGCATGTTTTTGTTTTTTTCCCATTCAGTGGGAATGAATCCTTCCAAAATTAAAAAGAATACCTGCTGCAAAGTTTCTGTAGACTTTCCGTTTGAGGTAGCTAACAATAAGCCACATAAATTGCCTTGTTGTTTTACAGTCATATATGAAAACAGTGTATATGAGAGAAGTTCTTCTGGGAAAGAAATCTTCCAAATTATGGACAAATAAGTGTAGGGTTGTTTTGTGCTGGGCACAAACCAAATTAAAAGAAATTTGCTTCCCTGTCTGTGGTTTTGAGAGCAGTGATGTTAGTATGAGAATAGCACACATCATACAGGTATCCATAGGAAAGTAACCTGCACAATTGCAGGAGGACAGAGGCTATGAAATTATGATGAATGGAGGATGGGCTGCTTCAGGCCAGTGTTCTGCTCAAATTAAATCAAGTATCCGAGGAACTGAAGGAAAAGCTGGGTACATGTGTGCTAAGATTTACTCTTTTTCATTTATTGCTGTAGAAACTGAGAAACGCACAGGACAAACAAGTGAGTATCCTTTGAATGAAGAACTAGCCACAAAGTGCCCATAGTCTTTGATAAACTGCAAGCTTCTTTCCTGCACTTATGTGAGCCTTTCTTACCAGCTCCTTGATACACAACCAAAGGCCAGCAGCAGACTTGGGCTGGCACCGAGAGAGCCCTTGGGGTTTTCTCTCCCTTCCCGATCTCCAGATAGGCATTTGGGAGGAAGGGTTGGATATACATCTCAAAATGACTCTGTGACCTGAAAATAGAGACAATGCACCTACTTTTATAACCCAAGAAAATCTTTAATAAAAATTATTTTCAAAATAGAAAATAAAATAATAAATTTAAATAATAAAAATTATTTAAAAAATAGAAAATGAAATAAACAAATCCATGTACCTAGTAGAATAAAGAGCATGGGGAACAGGCCCACCTATTGATTGCTAAAGAAATAACTTTACTGGATGTTGTGCTGATGAATCATTCATTGTTCTTGGGGCAGTGAAATAACTCATTATCATAAAAGTTTATATGTGATAATAACAGCTTTCATGATACACATAGGAGGGACATGGCTGCAGTGGGGAAGGAGGAGATGAACAGCCAGCAGTGGTGAGGACCAGGGGGTGGATGCCTGGCAGTGGCAAGGAACAAGGGGTCATGGGGGGTCACAGGGAGCAGCACTGTGGGTTTTGCATCTAGTATGCACTGAAAGCAACATAGGACCTATATGGATTTTCAGTTGTGTAGCTTGACCTCACATCTTAGTCATTCGCCTCTTCTCGTTCATTTTCTTAACTCTTCATTGTTCTAATTCAAGTCATTCTTTTATAGGTGTTTGTGAATTGGAACGCCGTGTTGGTGAGACAAAATTTGATGTATGGATTTGGAGGCAGGGATTAGGGATTGAATTAATAAGGAAGGAGTAGGATGGTGGCATGCATTTTGGTAGGAGAAAGTACTGTATTTTGCAATTTGGATCAGAATTATTTTTTGCTAACATTTATTTCATGTATAGTTAGTACTATATAGAATTCCAAATATATAATAGTATTATGAGTTTATCCTGCAATATATTTTGCTTAGGTTGGATCCAGATTAGGTTAGTTGCACTTAGTCCACCTTTAAATCAATGGGACAAATAGGTCACCATGACTAATTTCTTACTTTAATTTCAATAGGACCTAAGTGTGACCAAGGTCACATCTGCACCATATATTTAAAACAATATTATACCACTTTATCAGTAATGGCTTTCCCCAAAGCATCTTGGAACTGTTACTTGTTAAGGGTGCTTGGAGTTGTGAGGAAACACGCACAACCACTATTCCTTTAAAGCCCTAAACTGCCTTGGTCCTGTATACCTGAAGGAGCGTCTCCACCCCCACCGTTCAGCCCGGACACTGAGGTTCAGTGCCAAGGGCCTTCTGGCGGTTCCCTCAATGCGAAAAGTGAGGTTACAGGGAACCAAACAGAGGGCCTTCTCAGTAGTGGGGCCCGCCCTGTGGAATGCCCTCCCATCAGATGTCAAGGAAATAAGCAGCTATCCTATTTTTAAATGACATCGGAAGGCAGCCCTGTTTAGGGGAGTTTTGCATGTTTAATGCTTTATTGTTTTTTAACACTTGATTGGGAGCCACCCAGAGTGGCTGCGGAAATTCAGCCAGATGGGCGGGGTGTAAATAATAAATTATTATTATTATTATTATTATTATTATTATTACCCCCCTCACAGAGCTGCACTTTCCAGAGGATTGATGGTTAAACCACCGTGGGAATTATAGCTCTATAAGGCATCTCCTAACAGCTCTCAGCATCCTTAACAAACTGCAGTTCCCAGGATGCTTTAGGGGTAGTCATGGAATAATAATGCTATAAATATAAGTTGAGGATGTGGACTAAGTTTGTCATGATGCACAACCCCATATATTTTGACAATGATATCACTAATTGGTATATTCTTTCACTTCAGGTCAAATCTCCAATGAGCTGGGTAAGGCAGATGGCTTTTGATGAGGCAATGATTGTTCTGAACTGAAGTATTGTTTTCTAGTATGTTAATTGGGTCTAAATCACTTTATTCAATTCTGAAAAATTCTGGGTTGTTCACTTGTTTCATAGATGTTTCTCTGTTCTCTATGATTGATAAATTTTCTCTTCTGTTTGTAGAGGTTAGAAGAGCTCAGCAATATGCAGGTAAGGAAACTGTCATGATTAGGCTTAATGCATGGATATGCATACATGACTCAAATGTCATCACTCAGTGACTTTTCACTTGTGGTCCTTTTTCATATGAAAACATCACAGTAGCAATGGATTAATTCAATTTGTGCTTTCATAGTTTTAATGAATACTGAGGCAATCAGAATTCAACATCGGGGCGGCTAAAACTGTCCTATCCTTGCTCCAGTTGTATGAAAGTGCAGAGCTGACATGGACCAGAGAGGAATGGAGCTAACAGATTTCATTAGGATTGCACTTTGTATTTGGCTGTCTGTATAGGAAAGTCAGCACTGGAGCTCTTTCTCATGTGTATTATTATCAATTAATCTCAAAAGGGCCCCGGGCAGAAAACGAATACACAATGTAAAATTAAAAACAAAACAAAAACATTCTGAAACAGGGGAAGGTGTGATGACGACACCTCTACAGCCATGTCTTCTTATTGTACAGAGTTCCTACACAAATGTGTTGGCATTTCTATATAGACAAACAAATTCAGTTTCTGTATCCAAGTTGTGCAGTAACTATAATTGGTCAGCTATGAAATAAAATGTGTTTTCTACAGCAGATTGAAACATCTACTACTCCTGAACTAAACATGGTTTCCTTTCTCCCTCTGATTGCTTCCCTTATAGTTGCTGTCACTTTGGATTCATATTATAAACATCCAGAAATCAGCAGGAGTGAAGATAAAAAAAGAGCCAGCCTTCAAACTCTCCTCCCAGGGAAAGGAGTAACTGCTATGGGAACTCAGATTTTTGTGGGGAAAGAAGGTTATGCTGCTGGGAAACACTACTGGGAGGTGGAGGTGGGAGAGAGGGTGGACTGGGAGCTGGGGGTGCTGACTCAGGCTGAAAGAAATTCAGAAAAGAAATTCCGAAAGAAAAAGGTTGCTAAGTCCTTTCAGGAAGGCTGCTGGGCTCTCAAAAGCAGCCAAGGAAAATTATTTTCCAGCCCATGTGAGAAAGAGATTGAAAAGATTCAAGATGTGTCTTATTCAGTGATTGGTTTGTTACTGGATCAAGAAAAATGGGAAATCTCATTTTATAACTGCAGAGGTGCCTTTTTCCTTATGGATTCTATCCCCATTAAATCCAGGGACAAATTGTACCCATTTTTAGATTGTGGCAATGCTTCAGAAAACAGTGGTCCAAAGTCGTTGAAGAAAAGCAATGCTTCAGAAAACAGTGGTCCAAAGCCATCAGAGAAAAGCAATGCTTCAGAAAACAGTGGTCCAAAGCCATCAGAGAACAGCAATGCTTCAGAAAACAGTGGTCCAAAGCCATCAGAGAACAGCAATGCTTCAGAAAACAGTGGTCCAAAGCCATCAGAGAAAAGCAATGCTTCAGAAAACAGTGGTCCAAAGCCATCAGAGAAAAGCAATGCTTCAGAAAACAGTGGTCCAAAGCCATCAGAGAAAAGCAATGCTTCAGAAAACAGTGGTCCAAAGCCATCAGAGAAAAGCAATGCTTCAGAAAACAGTGGTCCAAAGCCAGCAGAGAAAAGCAATGCTTCAGAAAACAGTGGTCCAAAGCCAGCAGAGAAAAGCAATGCTTCAGAAAACAGTGGTCCAAAGCCATCAGAGAAAAGCAATGCTTCAGAAAACAGTGGTCCAAAGCCATCAGAGAAAAGCATTTCAAACTTGTAAAGAAACACTTCTAGAAAAGAAGAGTTCTCAGGGAAGAACTGTTGGCATGAAATGCCCAGGCTTCACAAGGAGGGTAGAATAATGGAAACAGTACTAGCATGATTGAACTGATGGATATTTTGCTTTGCTTTTGCCATTTCTTTTTCTTTTATTTGTTTTTAAAAACCACTGCTATGGATGTACATTTACGGCACCAACTCAACCACCATACTGTATATTTTCCTTCATCTTTGTGTATGAGCCTTTGTCATGTTTGTAATTAAAAAAAATTTAAAATACTAAAAACAGAGTTTGTTGGGAGTTGAATGCTAATAGTGGGGTCCTCACCCACCCACATACACACACATAAGTGAAAGCCTAGAGTTCATGTGCAAAGCAGGCAGCAGAGTCGAGATTGAAATGGGGCAAACTGTGTTTAAGGAAGAGTTGAGATAAGAAAGAAGGTGAAAGGGAAAAGAGAGCGAATGGGAAAATGGGAAAACAAAAGGGGTTGCATAAAAGGAGGGAATGGGAGACATGGAAATTGGGTTAAAGATTAAAGCAGGGGTATGCCACGGTCTGAAGAAAAGAAGGGGATGATAGCTTCATAACCAAGCAGAAGGTAAAAAGAGTGTTATGAGATATATGACTGAACAAACACGCTTGTACACCACACACAATAACTCAATGCACAGGTCCAAGATGATTAGTACCTTTTGTGTGGAGTCAATATGTGACTAGAATTATCATTTTGGCAAAAACACAAGTAACTTGTCACACTAGGAAGTAGGGAAATACTGGTTTATTACATGGAAATGAAAAGAGGTAATGCAGATTGATGCTGCTTCATACAGCAAGTACAGACACCTCAATCCTAAAGAGCAAAGAGAGTCCCTAACTAGACACTGAGTGCTGTCGTGTGCTACAGACTCCCACGAAAAAGAAAAGAAAAGGGATGGGTATTCCTGATCCAGAAACAAGCAGAACACAATGTGAGGGATTTGAGATCTGTGCCTTTTGTAAAGTTAAGTTCTCCCCTTCAAGGCAACAGTGTCTCTCACTCATTCCTTGGTTTGTGGTCAAGCAAAGCGTGTGATTCATAAATTCACTTTTGAAACAGAATTTCATTGTTTGTCTGAAGTCTGGTTCCTGCATATAGGAAAGTGACAATTAAACTTTCTGGTAAATACAAGGATTTGTATGCTGATCTTTACTGCAACTGTTAGGGGTCAGGATATTTGCTATACCTTCCAGGTCATGTCTTAGATAGGAGCTTGTACCAGGGTCACAGATACTTCATAAGAGGTATACGGTACTTTATGTTAAACTCATGCTAGCTGCACTAATGCCATAATCCATTGGTTTTCAACCAGTGTACCATCTATTGGTTGGAATACTTTTGTTCTTTTAATCTAGAGGGGAGAAAGTATTTTGGATATTGAAAAGTTAAATTGATTTTGGTAGGGAGGAGAACTGCATGCAACTGGAAGCAAATGTTCCACACACATTTTAAAACATTGGTGTGCTTAACTTGTTGACAAGGGATACGCAAATTCAAAAAAAATGTCTTGTGATAAGCTTTATATATGGAATCACTCTTGTCTGAAAATCATACTTGGGCCACTTACATGGACGGTCTTCCCCTTTCCAAATATGTGCACAAAGTGTTTGTTTGTTTGTTTGTTTCAATGGAACTATGCATATTAAATAAGCACTAGAAGACCTACCGTTATGAAAAAAAGAAGGTTAAAAATTGCAGGCCTGGCAACTCGAAATGTTAGCAGTTGCCACTGATTGTAACTTTTTGTATTTAATTCTAATTCTAGGTATCTGGTTATAATTAAAATAGATGTCAGTAACAATACAGAGGAGGGGAAGTACAATCTATGGTTTGCACCAGAGTTAGGGATAGTGAGAGTTCTGAATGTCTGACCAATACTTTTAAGCTGGGCACTGTAGGATTTGCAGATCCTACTGTGTCTTAGGTTCTCCAACAACCACTGTAGAATCTGCAAATCAGCAGAGTTTCCCTTTACCAAGATTTGGTTGAGATGGAGTTATTGGAGATGGCTGGTACAGAGTTCCCTCAGTGTATAAATTGCTAACCCTGATCTGACTCCAGACCAAACTTTCAAATTTCCAATGGTCTTCCCTTGCATTTGTCATTCCACTGCCACACACACTTAGCTGGGCCAATAGGAAGAGGATAAGGAGATTTGAGATGTGACAAACATGTTTTCTTCAGTAGTGCTACAGTGAGCCCATAACTAGGAAATTACTGGCTTCCTTTGTAATTATCAAAATGATTGTGATTAATGTTAATTTAATATATGTCGCCCTGAAGCTCCAGTGGTCACTAGCTCAGTTTGTGATTAAGACTGGATGATCATTTTTAAAATGTGCTGCATTCTGAATTGGACGTAGGGGCCAAGAAGGGCATCAATCAGATCTCAGTAATGTTACATTTTATAATTGAGGACTCAAGGAGCAGCTGTTCAAAACCTGGCTGAGATAATGTGACAACAAAGGCATTTCTGCCAAGGGCGCAAATTTGCCCTCAGCATGGTGATTTTAGCAGTGTTGCTAGCAGCGCTGCTTCCTCCTTCAGTGTGCCAGCAGCATCCTCTTAAATGTGCCATCAGCGAACCCATCCCTTTTCCTCACAAATATTATCAACCAGGTGGTTTCATCATCGGAGGCATTGTTTCTCAAATGATCCTGCTTTCTGAAGAGAAAACTTTCAAAAAAGACCCCATTCAGCAACAGAATCGAGAACCTGTGTAAGGATGCTCCCTTGTTGGTTATTTGCTTTTGTGTAAGGGAAAAAAATGTGTAAAGAATATTTTAGGAAATATATCACCTGGCATGTGGTGCTTACAACAAATAGTGCCAGAAATATGGAGGGGTCATGTTCAGAGTTCCAGCCTTCCAACTATGTTGGTTAGAGCACAGTGCTGACAAGCCAAGGTTGTAGGTTCAGTCCCCATATAGGACAGCTGCATATTCCTGCATTACAGGGAGTTGGGCTAGATGATCCTCAGGGTCCCTTCCAACACTATGATTCTATGAAAAATGCTTCTGCACAATATTCTAGTTCATTCTCCCTCCCACTGCTCCTTCCCACTGGATTACAGCTGTTCCATAAATACATTAGTTTAGGAGACCAGCAGCAGGAATAATTTGTACAGACGGGAACTGGAATGGTATTTCCAATTGTCTTGTTTCTCCCCACAAAAATGAATTCCAAGCTACATCTGAGATGTATCCCCTCTATTGAAATAGTAATAAAGAACAATACTGTAGTTAAAAAACAAACAAACCCTACATTCTGGAAATGTGGGAGGAAATCATGGTGAATATGCACTTCCTTTCCTTTAGCTAAGTAACTACACAGAGCATCAACCTCTTCAAAGAATGGCTCCTTCCTTGTGTGCCTGCCTTGAAATGCAGCACATGGACTTAAACGTGGTGTGGGGGTTCATTTTAATATTCTAATTGTAGCCCATCCCCATCAAGACCACATCTCAACTTTCCTTTGGACATGGATGTGCATGTTCATGAATGGCTCAGCAAGCACCTACGCATGCAATGTAACCAATGTTATGCAGAAAAATGAAACAGCTCTTTCTGCATACTTCCTTGAAGTATGTGTGTGCCCATTTTGTCCATCATATTATTGTCCAAGATGCTATTTTAAATAAATCTGATAAATGAATAATCTGCAGCAATGGGGTGGTATTGGTGTCCTACTCCAAAGCAGACGATCTTGGTGGCATGCAAAACAGCAGTAATTGTTTTATCAAGAGTGAAATGCCCCTTTGAGATAACCTGTCATTGTCATTGTAGCTTTCTGACTAAACATTACCAGCATGTCTTGGCCTTGGCCTTTGCAGTAAAGGAGATCAATGAAAACCGCCAGATCTTACCCAATGTCACCCTGGGGTTCCACATCTATGACAGCTATTTCAGTGCGATGTGGACCTGTCATGCAACCATTGAGTTTCTTTCCACACTGAACAGATTTAAGCCCAACTACAAATGTGACACTCAGAGTAATCTGGTCGCTGTCATTGGGGGACTTAGCTCTGAAACTTCTCTACACATTGCAAGCATCCTGCAAATCTGCAAGATTTCACAGGTTAGAAGAGGGTGTTAAAAATTTCACCATTTGCTTGCCTTTTACAATTTGGTTATGGGGGTTTGAAACAAGAGTGTATTTATTGCCCCCCCCCCCCCAGAAAAAGGAGAAGCGCAAAAGATGGCACTGATTTGAATTAGTGTGCATGTGCCAGCTTACATGTACAGATGTAAATTGAGAAACAATTATTATCAATGAAATAAAAAGATAACTGAGAAGTCCGTGACCAGCTCCCCTATGTACCTGCTTTCAGCCTGCTGCTCAGGTGATAGACTGCAAGTCCCATGTTCTCCCTTCTGTTCCTCATAAGATGAACAAGCCTAGGTGAACTTCAGGCTTGTACACAAACACACACCTCGATTCCTCCAGGACAGCTGATGAAAGTAGGAATCTGGATGCTATCATAGCCATTTTTGCTTAACCAAAACTGAACATATTATCCAAACCAATATTGAACAAAACGTTCCAGACAACTCTATTATTAGCGACACACACAGAATGGGATTTCGTTTTTCGTTCTTAATGTTTTTCTGACTCTCTCCACCACTTTTTCCTTTTTCTCTCCTCACTTTCATCATTAGCTTTCGTATGGCTCTACTTCAGCAATGAGTGAGAAAACCCAAGTTTTCCCCACTTTCCAGATGGCCCCCAAGGAAGCCCATCAATATATGGGGATTCTGCAGTTACTTCTGCATTTCAGGTGGATCTGGATTAGCATCCTTGCTGTGGATGATGATGATGGAGAAAGATTTTTGCAAATTGCACTCCCGTTATTTTTACAGAAGGGCATTTGTTTTGACTTCATTGACAGACTCACTAGGGTCACTTTTATCTCTGAAGCTTTGAATACAGCAGACTTGCTTCAAGGAATATATGAAGTTATTATGAAGAGAAAAGCGAATGTACTGGTGTTTTATGGAGAAATCCAGGCCATAATCCTTTGGAGAACATTCTTATCCATCCCAGCGACAGTTAATCCTAAAGGTAAAGTATGGATTATGTCAGCCCAAATTGATATTATAGCTTTTAACTTTTATACACAATGGGATTTTGAAGTCTTTCAAGGTGCTATAGCCTTCGCAAGTCATTCAAATATACTCCCGAGATTTCAACAATTTCTTCTGGGAAGAAATATTTTCAGGGCCAAAGAAGATGGTTTTATCAAGAAGTTCTGGCAAAATGCATTCAAATGTAAATTCCCAAATTCCATTGTGGGTGAAATGGAAGCAGAAATCTGCACCGGAGAGGAGAACCTGAGCGACCTTCCTGGTGGGTTTTTTGAAATGAGCTTGACTGGTCACAGTTACAATATCTACAATGCAGTCTATGCTATAGCACATGCTTTGCAAGCCATGCATTCTCTAAAATCAAAACACAAAGCAATGGTGAATAGAGGGTGCCTGACACTTCCAAATGAACAGCTATGGCAGGTAAGAATATCATGAATAATCTAGTATTTACAGGTGGAAACAACACACTCCACTGTTTGTAGACTAGCATCTCTTCGTGATTATTTCATTCACTCAAAATATCATACCCTCCAACATCCCATGGATCAAAATTGGAATGCTTGTTTTTTTGGTCCTGAGCTCTCGCAGGAGTCCAAATTGAGATGGCTTCTGTAATCTGGGATGTCCTGCTCAAATCAGGATGCTTAAGGGGTATTCAATATGAGCTTCCTTTCTCTTCCCAAAAGCAAGCTGGGATGACCACAATAATTCACGTATTGAAGAGCATCTTTCCTGTCTTCTGTTTGGCTTATTAGCCTATAGCTGGGGTGGAGATACTGTAATGCAGGACTCTTAGCTAAAGCATCCCTGACAGATGACTTAAAAAAACCTCCAATGAAGGGAGAGTCCATAACCTCCCAAAGGAGTCAGTTCCACTGTTGAACAGCTCTTACTGTCAGAAAGTTCTTCCTGGTGTTTAGTTGGAATCTCCTTTCTTGAAACTTAAAGCAATCAATTCGGGTCCAAGCCTCCAGAGCAGGAGAAAACAAGCTTGTTCCATTTCCCATGCAACAGCCCTTTAGATATTTGAAGATGGCTATGATGAGGACAGGGATGTGGGTGGCGCTGTGGTCTAAACCACAGAGTCTAGGGCTTGCCGATCAGAAGGTCGGTGGTTCGAATCTCTGCGACAGGGTGAGCTCCCGTTGCTCGGTCTCTGCTCCTGCCAACCTAGCAGTTCGAAAGCACGTCAAAGTGCAAGTAGATAAATAGGTACCGCTCTGGCGGGAAGGTAAACAGCGTTTCCGTGCACTGCTCTGGTTCGCCAGAAGCGGCTTAGTCATGCTGGCCACATGACCCAGAAGCTGCACGCCAGCTCCCTCGGCCTATAAAGCGAGATGAGCACCGCAACCCCAGAGTCGGCCACGACTGGACCTAACAGGCAGAGGTCCCTCTACCTTTATGATAAGGAGACATCTGCTGGATCAGACCAAAGAGTCATTTAGTCTAGCACTCTAGTCTCACAACAGTCAGGCAGATGAGAAGTCCACAAAGAGAACTTGAGGGCAACAGTGGTCTCTCCACTGGTAATTGCCAGCAACTGGTATTTATAGTTATAGCAGAAGTAGTACCTAACACCAAGGAAACTAGTGCTAATAAGCCCAGGAACCTCACCAAAATCTGGAGATAATGCACCTCCACAGGCACATACCTCCACATGTGGTGGGAATGCCCCAAAATCCAACTATTCTGGACAACAATCATACAAGAAATATGCAAAATAACTAAGCAAGTATTAGAAGTCACCCCACCCAAAACTGGCCCTATTAAAAATCTTTCAAGATAATGCCCACTCACATCATAAAGAGCTCATAACCCACCTACTCTCAGCAGCCAGAAACATCATAGCCAGACACTGGAGAGATCTGTCAGGAGGAAGCATGGACCAATCGTACAAAATAGTATGGGAAACAGCCTTATTAGAAAAACTAATCAATAAACTGAAACTGATACGAGGACAAATAGAAGAAGACGCCTTCACCCCGGTATGGTTCCCTTTTATCACAAACACAGCCGAAAAAGACAATGAAAAGAATCCACTAACAGCATATGAATCAATATAGCTAACCTGATTCAAAAACGCTCACCCACCCCACTCACACATGAAAACAAAGTTCACCACAGCCAACTACAAACAAACAACCACACCCTAGGCCAAAGCCAACCTCTCTCAGCACCAAAGGAGCACAAGCGAATAGCAAAGAGAACCCGCACAAGCGACTCTGACACAAAACCCCACACATACATTAAGCAGAATAGAAGCATTGCCACACGATCCCACCCCCACTCACTATTCCCCCCCACACACCTCTTTTCCCCTTTTCTTCCTAAGGTAACACTAATGTCTCAACAAATGAAACTGATCTGTAGAAAATGTAACTTGAAAAAAGAGACATTGCACATACAGTGGTGCCTCGCAAGACGAAATTAATCCGTTCCGCAAGAGTCTTCGTCTAGCGGTTTTTTCGTCTTGCGAAGCAAGCCCATTGACGGATTAGCGCTATTAGCGGTTTAGCGGCTATTAAAGGCTTAAAGGCTTAGGGGATTAGCTGCTAAAAGGCTATTAAAGGCTATTAAAGGCTTAGCAGATTAGATAAAGGGGGGGGGAAGCGAAAAAAAAATCTCAAGACTCGCAA